GACAGTGTGTGTGTGTGTGTGTGTGTGTGTGTGTGTGTGTGTGTATGTGTGTGTGTGTGTGTGTTGCAGGATACTTTGCTGAATGATTTCAGGAAAGAAGATCATCAAACAATCTTTAATTCTGTTTAATTTTCTTTTCGATTATTGTATATTCTAGTTTGATAGTGGAGAAACAGTTTGCTACTGAAGGGAGTGAAGATAAAGGAAAGAGGCAGGAATCACAAGTTCTTGACCCACATGCTAGACCCATTACCTCCTACAGTACCCTGCGGTGAGATTTTATCTGCACCATCAGCTTCTTCAAAGTTACAGGGGTTTTTGAATGAACACTTACAAGGGTACAATACAGAAAATGAAGAAAACTGTAGATGTTTAAGTCCTAGCTGGTCACTGTCTATGAGGGAATCTATTCAGTGTCATTAGGGAAAGGTAAGAGTTAGAATTCCATTCCTTACTAGATGACTCTAGATAATTAATTGTTTGTCAATGAGTTTGATTTTGCTACCTGTAAATTGGAAACAATGATGAATTCCTCATGGAATCATTGTGAGAAAATTACATGAAATTCCATGTATCTATAAACCTGTAAGTGACATCATAGAGTAGGTGCCCTTTTGCAAATTTTTCTCTTAAAATATTTATGAGATTTCTCTAATAAGAGGATTTTATTTTTTTATATTCTTAGTTGTGCTGCATGACCATACTTGTGCACATACCCTAGGCTTTCTACAGACCCAATCTAAGAGTACAGCAGCTGACAGGGGCCTCACTTGTTTCTTCTTTAATTGTTGGTAAGTTTCTACACAATCTTTTCCTCTCCCAGAGTGTACGAAGTTCAAAAGGCCCTGCATTTCCCTTTTAAAGGCATTGCAATACAAACACTAAATCACTGATTGGGTTTTGTTTTCAAACACCAAAATTATTCCAGAATCTTATGAGGCATAGGTGGGACCATTATCATTGCATTTAAAACCCACATGTGAAATATGCTGCTATAATTTTAAAAATTTGTCCCCACCAGAACCCATGTTGGAATTTGATTGTCATTGTGACGGTATTGGCAGGTGGAACCCCTAAGAATGGATTGGACTTTGAAGTCCCTGCCCTCATACATGAATCATTGCTGTTATCACAGGAGTGGGGTTCATTATAAAAGTGTGAGTTTGGCTCCCTTTTGCTCTTTCTCACTCTTCTGCCATATCACCTTTTGCTATATGATTAGGCAGCAAAAATAGTCTCACAAGATATTAGCATGTTGATCTTGGACTTCTCATCCTTTAGAACTGAGAAGAAATAAATTTCGGTGATTTGTAAATTACCCAGTCTTAGGTATTTTGTTATAGCAGCAAAAATGGACTTAGAAACAGGCCATTTATATGGAAATATGATAAGAAAAATGAAAGACAATTAAAAATTCCCACAAAAGTATATCATATAAGAGAATATTAATAATATTGCAAAGAACATTATTTGCACAGATCTAGTAAAATAGGTACACTCATATTTGCTCGGAACACATTAGTAAAGTGATTTTCAATTTCATCAAGAGCAGTAGTAACATTCATGTTATTTTAACAGTTCCAATTGTGGGAATTTACCTACAAGATACAGGCTAGTGTGGCGTCTTCCATCATCCCTCATGTGTCTGCACTGCTCAGGGTAGAGATGACCATTTCCCTAACTAGCTCAGTGCCTTCAAGCCCCCTGACCATGCTACATATATTCTTCCTTACAAAAAGAAAACTTTTTCTCATGGCTGGATGCCCAGCTTCTGTGAACCACCCAGAGGCCTCCAAACATTGATATGAAGCTATACTCAGGTCTTAGAGTCAACTGTAGGCATCCAATTCCATCTCTGTCTGGGAATAATATCCCTTTCTCGCCCCTCTCTATGTCTTTACAGACCCTTAACCCCCTACAAGTTCCAAGCAGCTCACTTTTCCCCATATGTTTAAGTTTTCATAAAGGATGGAAGAAACACTGGCTTCAGACAGCTTCTGAATCCAGCCCTGCCATAAACTTCCACTCAGGCAAGGGGAAGGGGCACCAAAACCAGACACCTGCTTCAGGAAGAACAGAGATTAACCTCCTCAGTTGTATGTCCCAATACATTTACTAAGGATCTGCCACCCATCACTTAAGGTTCCCAGGCTGGCAGGTTTCTCCCTGGATCTGGCAGTGGGCCTGGTGAGCAACCTTCTTGATATCCAGCTCTGTGGTTAGGAGCACATGCTTTGTAGTTACACATTCATGAAGAGAAGATAGTGATACCTTACTAGTAGGGTTATCATGAGATTACATCCACATGCTGAAGAACCTGGAGGTGGATCTTCTTAACAATCTGCTTCAGAAACAGTAGCTGTCTTTCTTCCCTGGAGCAGGAAAATCATGTGGCAGCTTGACTTACCCTGGCAGTCTAGACCACTTCACCATGATACACATCAGAATTGATGAGTTTTTCCAAACCTTCACCAGAACACCCTTGTTGGTAGATATAGGAATTCTGATCCAAAACGCTATTTAAGTTATTGAATTGTATTAATATGGGCCTCAGAAACAGATGTGCCCATTTGGCACCACAATGTATGTAAGTTCCTGTTTCTTCCATTCCACCAACCAGCTTTTGTCTATTTCAAGAGATTTTGTTTTGATTTGCTAGTAGGTTTTGTCTTTATTTCTCATTTGCTCATCTTATTTTCCCCAGACTTTTCCCACTGCAAGTGTCATCTCAGATGATCCTTAAACTTACACATTCTGAAGCTATCACAAAGTGTTATCAGATATAGCAAATAAAATAAAAGATGCTCAGGTGAGTTTGAATTTAAAAAAGAAACATAAAATTTTATTGCATGCCAAATAATTATAAAATTACTTGTTTACCTGAAATCCATTTCTTTTTTCCCTCATTTTATTGGCACATTATAGATATATGTATTGTTGAGATTTGTTGTTACATATTTGTAGATGTACACAGTATAACAATATAATTTAGCCAATATCACTCCCCAACACTTTCTCCCTGCCTCCAATACCTTGGTCTCTTTCCTCTACTGATTCCACTTTGGTTTTTAGAAGATCCACCCCACCTTTGTTTTCCTTTATCCTCTATAGGTTCCACATACGAGAGAACAGATATGACCCTTAACCTTGAGTTTGACTTATTTTACTTAACATGATGGTCTCTAGTAACATTCATCCTACAAATGCCATAATTTCATTTTCTTTGTGGCTAAATAAAACTCCTATGGTGTGTTTATACCACATTTTCTTTATCCATTCATCCACTGATGGGCACCTAGGCTGGTTTCCTAATTTGGCTATTGTGAATTGTGCTGCTGTATACATGAGTATGCATGTATCACTGTAGTACGATTCCTTTACTATTTCAAGGTAAATACTGAGAAGTGGTATAGCTGGGTCATATGGTGGTTCCATGCCTAGTCTTTTGAGGAGCATCCATACTAATTTCCATAGCAGTTGTACTAATTCACAGTCCCACCAACATTGTAAAAGAGTTCCTTTTTCTCCACATTCTCTCCAGCATTTATTAATATTTGTATTCTTGATGACTGCCATTCTGACTGGTATGAGATGGAATCTCATTGTAGTTATTTTCCCAATTGCTAATGATGTTAAATATTTTTTTCATTTATTTGTTGGCTATTTGTATTTATTCTTTTGAGAAGTGTCTGTTTAGTTCATTTGCCCATTTATTGATTGGGTTATTTGATTTTTTGTTGTAAAGTTTTTTGAGCTTTTTATTATATTAATCCTCTGACAGAAGAGTAGCTAGCAAAGTTTTTCTCCCATTCTGTGGGTTATCTACACATTCTTAATTATATCATTTGTCATGCAGAAGCTTTTTAATTTCATGCTGTCCCATTCATTAATTCTTGGCTATAGGGGTCCTATTGAGAAAGTTATTGCGGGTGCCTAAAAGCTGGAGTGTTGACCCTACATTTTCTTCTAGGAGTTGCATAGTTTCTGGTCTAGTACTGAGGTCTCTAATCCATTTTGAATTGATTTGTGTGCAGGTTGAGAGATGAGGGTCTAATTTCATTCTTTTACATGGTGTTCCAGCACCATTTGTTAAAAAGGCTGTCTTTTCTCCAATGTATGTTTTTGGCACATTTGTCAAGGATCAGATAACTGTATCTGTGTGTGTTTGTCTGTGTCTTCTATTCTGTACCATTGTTCTATGTGTCTGTTTTTATGCTAATACCATTCAGTTTTTGGTACTATAGCTCTGTAGTATAATTTCAAGTCAGGTATATGATGCCTTCAACATGGCCTTTTTGGCTTAAAATTGTTTTGGATATTCTGGGACTTTACTTGTTCCAAATGAATTTTAGAACTATTTTTCTAGTTATGTAGAGAATGTTGTAATTCATTTCTAATAGGTATTATATTTTATCTGGCAGTTCTACACCTTAGAAAATATACAGGGTAAAACAAAGTGCTGCAGTCAAGTCCAGGCTGCACTCCCAGGAAATGCCATTACCACTCATCATCCATAGAATTGAGCTCTTTTATGTGTTCCAGATGAGTGGAACCTCCAGATTACAGAAGTGACAGCACCATGTATAGAGGCAGCCTTAAATGACAGATACTACATACAGAAAATAAATGACCAGTGATCCCTGTTGAGTACATAATCCAGAAAGATAATAAATAGCTATTGTTGGGGGGGGGTTAAGCAAAAATTGAAATAAAAAAAAATCTGTGGTGTAGGTGTATTCCTCCTCTTTTTTGTGGTCTGTTCTCATTGAATAATATAGGGATTCTTTTATCTTTTAGGCCTTGGTAAGACTTCGTTATAATTTTGACTATAATCTTCAGATCTTTTTATATGTGTATATCAGATTCTGAATATTTCCAAAATTCCTTCTTGAAGGGATTTTCAAAGGAATTTTCTTGATAAATGATTTTCACACTACTCCTAGAACTTGGAAGCTAAATCCAACACATCTCCATAAAGATGAGCATCTACTGCAATCATGAAAGTTGAGGAATTGAGATTCTGACACTACACACTCCACGAACTACATGGAAAGCAATATACTTACAAGGTTGCTAGGAGAATATACAGTTAGAATAAGGGGTATCTATTCATTTTGAGAATTGTCTTTCAAAGAAGGTGCCCTGAGACACTAACTCCTGATACAGGGGTTGCCTTGTAAGGAAGTTATTATCTTCAGGATTCCTTGAGCACAAGTAGACAGGACTCTTTCATACAATCCATAGGATGTGTATTGCAGTACTTGACTTTTCTGATTGTCCCAACATAGCATTATTGGGTACATAAATCTGTTCATTTTTGGAGTTCATTAAGAAGAAGTGTCCTGCCTACAGTTCTAAGTTACCTTTTCCAGTGTTGAGAGCCACAGCCGAAGGGGCCCCAGCAAACTTCCAGGGGGCCCCAGCAAACTTCCAGGGGGCCCCAGCAAACTTCCAGCTGCCAGCTGATGATTGGCTCACAGCAGCCCCAGCAAACTTCTAGCTGCCAGCTGATTGTCTCCTCTGTGGTGATGCTCACTGGGCTGTTTCCCCACCCTTTCAGACCATGGAGCTGCTCATTGGGGGATTTTTTTTGCTCCGCCCACATGACCCAGCCAATCAGCCTCAAGAGCAGGAGGAATGGGGGGGGGGTGTTGAGAGGCTTGTGGGAAGCTGGTGGTGGCAGTTGGGCTCTGAGGGAATTCCTGAAGAGCTCCTGTGGTGTGGCGTGTGTGTTCTAAATAAAGTTAATTTCTGCTTGACAAGTGGCTCCTGAATTGTGCCCAGCCAGACTGTAGCATTGGGTGGCCTGCAAGGGGACCAACTGAGGGTAAGTGATAAGGTAAACTGCTCGCCCCTGAGGGCAGGGCGAGAGGATGAGTAGCCATTTTAAGATTCTTCTTTTGTTTTGCACTCCAGTATCACCTTTATAGAGATTAGAGTAAATGGGTTGATTTCTTAATTGTATTGTCATATTTCTTAGTTGATTTAGAGCTCAGAATTGGTATGGAGATCCTACTTCAGGCCCCCCCTTAATGTTCCAAGTTTTCTGGAGCAGATCAGAAGAAATAGGTGGGGGAGCCAGTGAGACCAGAAAAGGGAAGAACAACTATGGCCACAATGTAAGACCCATCCTTGGACAGGGTAGAACAAGAATTTAAAGGGAGAGGTTGTGAGCTCTGTGCATCTTTGTTCTACCAAACTCACTAATTGGGTAAGTGATCTGCTGATAGAGAAGTGCATATAGAGAGGCTAGAACTGTTTTTTCTGGATGCCCTTACACACAGAAGAAAATATCAGGAATAGGGAATAAGAATTCTCCAAGATATCCCAATATCCAGAGGAATTAAATTGAATCAAGTTTCAGTCTACTAAAGTATAATTATAGTCCTGCCTCCCTAAAATAAGTCAGGTTCCTTAAATAACTTCATTGGTTGTTCAAAATCATTCAGTCACATGATTATAGACAACAAATTAATTTAATGCCACAGGCGGCTAATCATTTGACATATTAGTTTTATATAATCACCAACAGAAGGATAGCTCATCTCCCAAAGCCCTAGGACACCTCCTGGGGTTTTTGTGTAATTATAATATTCCCCTAAGATACTCCCCTAAGATAAGATATAATATTCCCCTAAGATATAATACTCCCCTAAGTTTTAAAGCAAATGATATTACAGACAACAGAGACATGAGCTTGTTCCAACAACCTGAGCTCAGTTTTATTGCCTGTGCCTCAATCTGCTTGCCTTATTCCGTATGCTTCCTTGGGTGGTAGTCTGAAATGTGCAGAGGTTTTGCTTCCAAGGAAAGGCAAAGAGACAAAGCGTTGTGTGGAACCATTTCCAGCCTATGTGTGGAGTAGGGGTCAGACCAATGCATCACTGTTGCCATAGGAACCTGACGTCATTATGGCGACTGTGACGGCATTCAAAGGAGACCAACTTGCTGTGGTCAGAGAGCAGGGCCCTGCCTCCGGGCGTTTGGACTCCGGAGCCTGTGACCATCCCGCGGTGGGGGCTAAGCCCCCGGTGTGTGGGGAGACCAAGGGATCCCAGACCCAAGTCGCCTCGTTCCCACTCTGGAACTCGGTGCCCTGCTGAGGGAGAGAGATGTGAGACCCTCCTGGCCCCAAGCAGTGTGATGTCCTACGTGGTTATTGAGAGATCACTTCCCAGTTGTACCAGTGCCATTGGTCACTGAGCCAGTGCCTTGCATGATGCCAGCCACACAGTTACTCTGATGAGGCACAGTGATTTCTGGGTCTCTTTCTCCCTGGGAATCTACAGGTTGGGCTTATATCAAGTGTCTGAAGGAGGTGGTTTCTGAGGATCTAAGTGGTGATGGCTGAAGTAGAAGCTGAAGCTTCTACTCCACATCTGAATACTGTAGTGCTCAGGAGACCCCAGCACTTCCATCCCTGGTGCAATATGAGTCCTGCTTCATGTGAGTTCATAGAGCTAAACATAATCATGTTGTTGAATAAAGTCTACAAGTTTCACAAAATCATAAAAGTAGACAAGCTCTTTCAACACCGTCATTTGGAGAAGAAAATAGAGTTTTGTCCCATTGGCAACTTATATGCTTGTTGTAGCCTTTGAGGCTCACTCATCCTAGAGATGGCATCTTAGTCTGAAAGCACTGAATCCTTCAGCTTGTGGTAGGAACTTGATATTTAACAGGTATGTTCAATAAATTTCATATATTTTTTTCAATTGTAAGAATTAAAAACAGTGATTCCTATCAAAATCTTCAGAGGGGTGTTGAAATATATAATTGGTTAGAAGGCACTATGAAACTGTATTATGGAATCTTCCTTGGTAGTCAAATTTTAT